TTTTTTTTGTACAAGTTTGAGGTTTTTCTTTAGCTCATCAATATAGCAGAGTTTTTCTTTAGTACATTAATGTAGAATTAGCGCGCAGATCGGCAGATGTATACCATGAACAGATAATAGCCGATTTTGTTGAGATTATGTAATAATGATTGATTAATATTGTTTTAATTGTGTTGATCGGATTCATAAGAAAAATGTCAGAATACATGAAATGTTTAAATCAAAATAAAAATATTATATTAAGTCACATTTATTTCATAACTTCATGAAGAAATTATTCCAGGCGGAGGAGCCAAAAAGAACACCTTGAGAGGCAGGCAAATTTGGCATCATACAAATCTGGAAATGGCTGTGAATGACTTAACACAAGCAAACATGCCTTGACAAAGTTAATAATTTGCTTCATCATCCTGCCAAATTTTCCCGTAACTTCAATTTGAAAAGTGAGATCGGGTGTGTGACCCGAGGTACGAGCCGACGATGAATGTAGAGTGGATCCTTTGATTGCTCTTCATAGTCACCTATCCAAAGTTTATTCCTTGGACAAGAGGCAATTCACTTTCATAATTGATTGTGCTGCATAAATATAACAAAACATGCCGAAATAAGAAAACGAAATTAAAACAACAAATTTGAAGAACTGAAATGTTTTTAACTTATCGACCTTATCACGAAAAAAAACTAGCCTTGAGGTTCAGCCTAATTAATTAAAGGAAAACAAACAATATTCAAACAAAGTTCATTTACCAAGTTGAACGCCTCATATATTGTTTCCAAGAGTCACTTCCAGCTTCACGGCCGCCTTCAGTAGCTTTCTCACCGCCAAAAGCGCCACCAATTTCAGCCCCATTTGTTGGGATATTAACATTTACGATACCACAATCACTTCCTTGTGGCCTGCGACAAATTTACACACGTCAAAGGCGGCAATGACTAAAAAGGGGGAAATAAGACGCTTCGAACAAATGACAATTTGAATGTTGCTTCTGTTTTTAACAGAGTTGTCTGTTTGCATGTACAAACTTAACAAATTGGAATAACATTTTGAGCTAACAAGGACATGTTGTAATTAGACTAATTGCAAAAAACTCTCATTTATATGGGCATAGAGCACCTTCGACATTTATTTGGAATTTAAGACAAGATAAAAATCAGAAAGTGTTGCATCATTTTAAAAGTTAGAGAACAGGTCCAAACAACTATTCCTTCACAATCTCAGCAAAAGAAGAAATTTCAACTATGGTGGGTTGCACAAAGTTACCTTGGGACCATTAACAATACCGCCTGCTACAATTTTTCCTCCCTACACCAAATTAAATTGATCTAAGCAGAACTTTTTTTTTTTCTTTTTACTTGAAATTAAAAGGATTTAAGCCGAGTAGCCCGACCAATGTATGGAGTAGTATGGCTTGGTGCGTGCTGTTCGGGGTTGGGTTGTTATGTAGCTGAGGGTCCTTGTGACTTCGAGTTAGTGGGCTAGAGCTGAGGCGTTGAGTTAGTTTCTCTTTCCCCGGTTCTCTGGGTTACGGGGTGCTCACTGTTCTTTAAGTTAATTTATATTAATATAAACGGATCAAATTAATTTTGCACTTAAATATTAATAATATAGTCCTAATTTTATCAGTGCAATCCTAAACCGAATTATGTGCCCCCAAATCCTTCCTAAAGCGACGCTCAAAAATCCTTTCTAAAGCGACGCAAACTCCTGCACCTTAATCCTTCACAAAGCGACCTGGCCAAATCGTTCACAAGGCGACCTCTCCGTCGATCAAAAATCAACATCTTCACGTTTCCTCCAGCTGCGGCCGACTGAGAATTCAGTGCCCTTCAGGATATCCTTCACCCGAGCTCCGTCGGTCGATCGATAAATCGACACAGATTTCTTCACTGGACATCCCAATCGGCCCACTGTTGCAAGTAATGTATAGTTTTTTTTTTTTTTTCAGTAGAGAGATTTTGAATGGGCTTTGGTATTTGAGGTTATAGTTGTTGAAATTGGGTATATTACTTAATCAATTATTTATATACCAACCTCTAAGGTATCTGTATTATGAACGGAATAGAGGTTTAGTGGGCTTAGAATGTCAACACTGAAGAGGCACCACTGCGTTAGAGCTTTTGTCTGAACTATTCATAATATTGACAAAAATCTATGTATGACCAATATGAAAAAAGATTGCATTGGAATTTTGAGTTAGTGTTCTGTTCTGATGGCTCACATATTAGGTTTTGGCTTAATAGGGTTGTACAATATTGCATAATAATGCTTCTTGCGTGTTCCCTCAACATTGCCTTGAGAGTTGATCAATGTTGCTTCTTGCGTGTTCCCTCTTTGAGGTTGTTCTCTTGAATGGATACTGAAGGTATGAACAGATTGCAAAAATAGCATTGGAGTTTTTTTTTTTTTTTTTTTTTTTTTTTTTTTTTTTTATTGAAGCAAAAACAATCATGAGTAATTATTAGCACACAAATATATAACATTAAGGTTTCATTAAGAAATAAGAATGATTAAGAAATATGCATGAGATTTTTGGAATCTTTAGGTCATTTTTTTCATATTCTTGGTGCGTTATCTTGATGTTCGTGGAGCGTCTCTGAAAGATCGATCGCTCAATATCATCGCCCAGGTAACATTGAGTTTTAAGTTTATATTAAAGTCTAACTTGCACTGCTAATGAGATGTGCAGTGCACATTAGGGAGTTTCTCAAAACCAGAAATTTTCATTTTCCTTATGTACTTTTACACATGTTTTAGTACATAAGACACAGATTCAGTGTTCCTTTTACTGTAAAGTCCTATTTATTGACATAGTTCAACCCATATGTAATTTGTCAATTGCACTTCTGTACAATTTATGTGATATACCTTAGCACTAAGTATTTGATTCTTCAAGTTAAACTACTTCTAGCATTTTTTTTATTTTATTTTATTTATTTATTTATTTTTTTTTTTTTGTGGAAACTCATTTCTTCAACTCAACATACTTGGAAGCGTGCACAAAATCTTTGAATATCCTTTAATTGACATGTTTGGCCAAAGAGATTGCCCCTGTATTATGGACCGGGATTACAGCAATGTGTCCGTCATTGAACTTATCTTGCAATCATTCTCCATGGAACAACTTGCTTCATTTAATCTTCTTAAGATTCTTAGAACTTGTGAGTTGTAATTCTTCAAAAATTCGTGAAGCATCTGGCCTTGGAATACATGTCAATGCATGCATGCTTTTGGATGATACTTCATTTGTCCCAACTTTAAAGATATGCCAATTTTAATCTACAAATGTATTTAAAGCCGTGTATTTTATGGAGTGCAAGCAAAGGCATATCAAAGCGTTTGTATGGATCTTCCTCGCACATCTATATATAAAAGGCTCGATCATATAATGAAGAAATTCATTCACATTAAAATGGCTGCAAGGCTTCCTTTATTGTTATTTTGTTATCGGATTTCGGCAACTATTCATGAAAATGGATTTTCCTTTTGATAACTCAATATTCAATAACCATTTTTTAAACTCTGGGGTTGGGAGTATTAATTATATTGCTACATTTATTGTGCCTTTGATCTTATATCCTTGTATGTATCGTAGTATATGGTCACTAATTGTGATGTGTTAAATCCTCAGTTTATGATGCACCTTTTAAATTTGTTTGCAATGCAGAAGATAACTTTTACCACTAAGCTAATTAGTATTCTATTTTGGAATAGTTATTTACTCATAGTTTTATATAATATTTACCAAATACGTGACATTAAAAAATGTTGGTTAGATAATAATTAAAAAGTCAATCTTTATTGTCAACCGTGAAAATTTTAAGTTAGGAACAAAAAGTTGGATGATAAAGAGATGACTTGAATGTAATTCTATTGTCAAGTCTCTGTATAAATTGATACATATATTTTACTATATGAATTTAGGACCATGGAGAACTAAAAAATAGACGTCAATTCCATTTTAAGAGAATCTGTATATTAGAGTTATAAGGAATAGTAGAGCCTTTGAATGAAGTTTTAGTATAGTACTTGACCAGTATTAAGTGGGGCATGTTAGGAAGCATGGATGATCTTTGGCATTTGCTTCTCTTTCCCGCTATCTTCATAATGAGAATTTATTGCTCTCTTGGTTATAGTTTTTATGATTTTCTGCAGGTTTCAGGCCATAGTGCTCTATCAATTTCTAGAAATAGCATCAATTTACGGAGTTTAGATTCGTCTTTGTTTGTTTCTGTGCCTAAAGATCATAGTGAAATATATACTATCACACATTTGTGGTGTGATGAATGTTGGGTTCTTGATTCTTGGTTTTCACTGTAAATGGAGTCTTTCTCGGTTTCCTTTTCGAGATTATTAAAGTTTGAATCTTGGTTCTCTTTTTTCATCGTATATAAGCACGTTTTGTGTTTGTGTTACCTATTCAAATGGATGTTCTATTAAAGTTGGAATCCTTTTGCTCTTTTTTCATTGAATATAATCGCGTTTGTGTTATCCCTTGTAATGAGATGTCTTTTTCTATGTAGCAAGTGAAGGAATGTAATTTCGGTTTGGAGGTATCAATTTTTTATCAATTAGTACAAACACCAGCCTCACAGAAATTGGTCGTCCAAAGCCGCACCACGGCGGTCCTCTTCACGACTACAAAACTACTCATTCACGAATCTCCTGGTAAGGGTTCTTCTCGCTTTCATTTTTCGAGTGGTAATGAGATTGTTGAGGATTTTTTTTTTATTTTTTTTTTTTGGTTTTCAACTCTTTTATAATTTTCAACTTAGTTGTTTCTAGATTTTTTATAACATTTGTTTTTGTTTTTGGAGTAAAAGTAATTTTATAAATCGGCGCATTTTATTTGTATGTCTATGTTTATATTATTGATTTTTTCTTGTTGCTTATCATTGCAAATTTATTTATTTTATAATTTTCACGTTACTGAGGAAAGGCTTCGTGCAAACCTACTATTTGCATCAATTAAGTATATATATGATATCTAATGTAACTTTGGGACCACAAAATCTCTACAAGATATTTTTTTTACCTTAGTTTCTATTTCGTTTTCACTTCTCTTGCTAATTTTAGATTTCATTTTTTGTTTTTAATTAAATTTATTGTTCTTTGGCAAAATGATTTGGTTTTTGAAGGATCTTATCAAGTTCTAGCATGAGTAGAAGATCATCCACTGATTTGTCAACAGGTAATTTGACTAATTAATAATTCATATTAAATTACTTATGCAAGTTATACACCATAAAGAATATAATAGTTAAAATTTTCATCATACTATTTATTCTACATGAATATATATTTTTTTTTTAACATTTTTATTTATTTGTATCACATTGAAGGATGTATATCGTCGTCGAAATACGGCTAAGATGAAAAGAAGATACAACGATTTAGATGCTTATCAGAAGCAAGTGTTGTGCTAAAAAAAATAAACATCGCAAGGGCCAAAGTATGGGTGTTGCACAGGGAGTCAATTGGAATAACGATGTTTAATCCAAATTGGAATAACGATGTTTAATGCTGCTATTGATGAATACACCAACAAATTCTAACTCAACAATACGTATTCAATGAATGATCGTGAAGTTGGAAAAGTTAATCCCACTTTTGTACATATGGCCGTTCATCCAGAGAAAGAAATATGTCTTAGAAACTCCAACGAAACTTCCGTAAATCTTGTCGCTGAAGATATATGACACAATCTCTCCTATAATTTCACCAAGTTTAACAACATCAATGTCAAAAATAATGCAAATAAAAAATTTTGTAGTATATATTGTACCATATGCAAAAATTAGATTCCTATGAACTCTACTCTATTAGTAAAATTACATTTATATTTTTTTTCAGACATATGTGGGATCGTAAGGAAGGCCAAGGAATCAAGGATTGTGACAAAAGCAACCGGAGCAAAAACAACCATGAGAGAATAACGATTATGGACCAACAGTATATATTTTCTATCCTTACAAATTAACAATGTCTTATTAAATATTAATAATAATTTATATACAATATTGATAATTTACAAAATATTAATAATGATAACAAAGTTCAAAATTGATTGTATATGTAGGTATCGATCCATTCTGGTCTCTTTATGAGATGAAATGGCTCAAAATGAAGGATCCAACGTACACGACATGGTTGAAGAGAGCCCATTTATTGCAATTACGAATTTGATAAAACCAAAGATCTACAACGGTAACATCAAAACCAATTACATAAACAATACTTTTATTTTTATAATGCCTTAACAACGGTAACTTAAATTACGTTCCAAATTTATTAGGGAGAAGAATCATCTGGTTACTATCGAGGATTGAGGTTGCAATCAACCACCCAATTTTAATTTCTCATCCAAATAAATAACAAGTCCTACAACTCAAGAGGAGAGATGAACGTGGTTGCCGAAACAATTGCAAGATTAAATGATGATGAAATGAATGAAAGTTCTTCAAAATCTCCTGAAAACGCAACTGATCTGCAAAAGAATCAAGGGGTGCCACAAANNNNAAAAAAAAAAAAAAACAAGTTCAAAGAAGAAAACGCGTCGCCAATAAAATAAAGGAAGACGACAATGATAGTGTCAATGAATGATAATGAAACAATCAGCAGTCTTAAAAGAAATGTGTGGCGCAACAATTCGAAAGGAAAGGGAAAGAAATCATCCATTCCGATCATCAACATAAAGAAAGAGAAGAGTTGAAGATCATAGTTACTTTAGTTAATGTTTAGTTTAAGAACAATATTTTGTTACGTTCTTGCTATAGTTCATTTACTTTACATTTTTAAAAATTTCATCTACTATCTATTTTACCTTAGACCATTAATAATTTACCCCGGCTACTTCATGCTTTCTATTACGAGTAGTTAAAGAAAACATAGTTGTTTAGTATAATTTTGATGGGCAAGGGATAACCGAGTTACCCGATTCGGGTCGATCTCGAAGGAAGGCTATTCGGAGCTTTGTCTACTAGATGATCGTCCAAATCACAAAAATCGAAAATAAAATCCTAAACATTCTAAACAATTGATTGAGGGTGATTAACGCTAATTACGACTATTGAGAGCGATTAAACGAACAATGAGTAAGTGAACGTACTACAAACTCTAGCAACTAACCGGTGCACAAAGCCAAGGGCAACAAAAAGCCAAAATAAGAGAAACGAACTCCATTTAACATGCTTGATAGTTAAAATCGAAATCCTACCACAAAATAACCGAGCTAAATGTAAAGTCACGATTTTTCAAGAAGCAATCAATCAATCAATCAATCAACTCCACGCATCATAAACGAGCTCACAAAAGCAAGAGAAATAAACATAGCTAAAGTAACTACTAAAAATCCGATAATCGAGCAAGCCCTAATTACTTCTACGCACGAGATAGCAAGTAAGTACGAAAATCGAGATTATAAGGTTTAAAATTAAATACTCACATCCCTAACGCATGCTCGATCGATAACGGAAGAAAAAGATTAAAACTTGCATAAACGAGAAGTCACCGGAAAAAGTCGCCGGAAAATGTAAATAACATCCATCTTACTCTAGGGAGAAAATAAGAGACTTAAGCTAAGAACCAAAAGAGGAAATATTAATAATGAGCTAGATGTCCCCCAAATGCAAAGGCTCAAAAGTATTTATACTCCAACAAAACACACACACTAAAAAATGCACATAAAATAACACTCTCGAGCTCGAGGAAATGGTGGCGGGCACGCGCCGTGTGCAATGGTGAGAAATGAGCACTCTCGAGCTCGAGGAAACGCCGGCGGGCACGCGATGGTGATGTAGGGAGGACTCTCGACCTCGAGGAAATGGTGGCGGACACGCGCCGTGTGCAATGGTGAGAAATGAGCACTCTCGAGCTCGAGGAAACGCCGGCGGGCACGCGATCATGCAAAAGAAACTTTGGCTCGGACTCACTAAATGTGGCTCGACTCTCTCATAACATAGTTCGACTCTCTCTCTCTCGATCTCCGGAATAACCCTGAAATTAATAATCGAAAAAAAAACACGGAAAAGTACGCCAAAGTATAAAATAAAAAGGAAAGCATAAAAAAAACACACGGAGAACGACAAAATGGACCAGCCAACCCTAAAACAATCCTAGAATCGACTCGAAAGCACACAAAAACACATAGAAAAACACACAAAAACACAATAAACAATAGTACCATGAAACAATCATCTCTTCGTGAACTAAATTAGCAAAAATATATTTTCACCACGTGCATCGCACGTGTCCCTTACTAGTAATTAAAAATGTACGAAGGTCAACCGTTACACAAATTTACACTATAAAACATACTTTTATTTATACTATTTTTAAATATGACATTTCATCATAAAAATATACATAATATTAATTAAAAATGTATGACACACTAGCCGTTAAGCATGCCTAACAATGCTAAAGACAATTTTATCTTAAGTGGCCTTAAATCCCAATTATTTTCTTAATTATTTGTGGACACATATATGACCTTTTTTTTTTTCCGTATATATGACATTTACAGCAGCACAAGTGATTGTATACTTCAATTAACATATTCTTTTGTTGTCGTATAATTTCTCTTGCACCACTTGTGTAATTTTGAACAGATGAAACGTTTATGTTTAGCACAAAGTGAAGCGGTTTTGCTATAGAACCATCGGATGACTCGACTTATGGAGTCATCCATAGATATTCACAGAAGATGTATTAACACGTGTCCTGTAATAAATGCATATATCAGTACATAAATTTATAGATGATTCCATAAAGGAGTCATCCGATGGCTCCACAGAATTTCTAGCGAGAAAACCACCATTGTACTTATGTTCCGACAAAAGCCATACAAAACAGACATGGCATTTAAATGACACAAAATGATGCTGTAAAGAGTAAGTACTAAATAGTTCCATATTACAGGAAAAGACGTATAAATCGTACACTACAATCATAATGGCTTGTAAATGCAGAAAACAAAATTAAAAATAAAATATACAGGCAAACGAACAAACAAACGACAGCTCCAAACTCTCGAGTAAGTTCGCACAAGGCTCTATCATTTTGCTGTTTTCGAGTGTTTGATGAGCCAATCAATGACAACATCGATGTTAACAGATTCCTTGCACGATATCATGTAACAGCATACTTCCCGACCGGTGACTGAGTTTAAATCTCTAGTACACAAAAAGAAATTAAATAAAACCACTATATTGGGAAAAAGTAGAAACAAAATATCATGTAACTGTATTCCTTTTGACATGCTCACACTTAGCTTGTCAAAGAAAGCAATTTCAGTGAAATCTAACAAGTTCAGAGTAAATTTTCAAATGGTCCCTAACTTCGAAATTTCAAAAAACCACACTTATACAACTTGCACTATATAATGGGTCAAAATTTCTTTACAGTAAACTAATAACCCACTCAAATAGCTGCAATTTGCACTGCAGGGGGAACTTGTAATTGTTGATAAGACTAGTCTGGTTTTCTTGAAATTAGACTGCAATCGTTTTATTTTAAAACCATTAATAAAAATTAGTTACTTACAGCTGATCAACAAGTGCTTGCTTCGTAATAGCTTCCGACTTGTCGATCTTATTGCCTAGGACAAGTAAAGGAATCCCTTCTAACGAAGGTTTCTTCAAAAGCTCGTGCAACTCACTTCGGGAGATTGGGATGCTGTCCCTATCAGCAGCATCAACAACGTATCTGCCTCGAGCATGAAGACAAAATGTTCAGTCAAAAGGAGGCAAATTCAGATTTTTCAGTTCTTCCAGTTCCTTCAAGGGATTCTCCGAGTTTTCCAGGTTTTTAATCTTTTAAAATTTCCATGGTTCATACCCCCCCCACCTTCCTTATGGTTCATTTTTCAGGTTTTTAATCATTTAGTTTTTTCTTTTCTTTTTTTGGAGTTTGATGTTCACTGGTGCTCTCTCAAATTACTTCCGATTAGTCCATTTGATAGGATTGTGCTCAGTAAGCAAAAGCAATCAGAGGCAAAAGAGAGTTACACAATGGCTGAGACACCACGGCAATAACGCTCCCACATAGAACGGAATCTACGTTGGCCTCCCAAATCCCACAGCTTTATGGTCACGTTCCCTTTCGTCACTTTACGCATGTTAAAACCCACCTGTTTTTACAGTAGAAAGGCAGATAAGAAAATACTTCGAAACTACTTATTGCTTCTTCAGCTAAGATAGTTATATAGGTCAACAAGATGATGCTTACAGTTGGAATCATATCCTCGCTGTAGCCTCCTGTCTGATGGAAAATATATATATCAGTATACTAATCGTTAACTACGAAACTTATTTATAATAGACAGAGAGAGAAAGAGAGATGAAGTTCACTCACAGCAATAACATTAACAAGTGAGGTCTTCCCAGCATTTTGAAGGCCTACGAGAGACAATTCCATTTCCTGTTTGAAAAATAAGCTGATGGAAGATATTGTCAGAATTAAACAGCTCTAAACAATGGAGATGAATGCTTTGGACTAATAACTAAATACATATAACCTCCCTTACAAGTCTAAATTATAGTTTTTCGCAGCTATTAAAAGCAAGGTTTGTTAGTGCTAGAGGTATTTCAAAACACACAAAATAGGAAAATGAAAAAAAAA